ATCAATGTGATACACTACATTGACAAAAGAAAGGACAAGAACCATATGATCCTGTCAATAGATGCAGAAAAATATTTGACAAAATATAGCATCCATTCTTTATAAAAACCTTCAACAAAGTAGGATAGATAGAACATACCTCAACATCATAAAGGCCATATACAAAAGACCAACAATTGGGGCGCCTGGGTGGCTTAGTCGGTTAAGCGTCCGACTTTCGCTTGGGTCATGATCTCATGGTTTGTGGGTTCGGGCCCCGCGTCGGGCTCTGTGCTGACTGCCAGCTCAGAGCCTGGAGCCTGTTTCAGTCTGTGACTCCCTCTCTCTCTGACCCTCCCCTGCTCATGCTGTCTCTCTCTCTCTCTCCTAGAAATAGATAAAAATAAAAAAAAATAAAATAAAAAGACCAACAACTAATATCATACTCAGTGGGGAAAAATTGAAAGCCTTCCCTCTACGGTCAGTAACAAGACAAGGATCCCAGTCTTACCATTACTATTTAACATAGTACTGGAAGTCTTAGCCTCAGTAGTCAGACAACAAAAAGTAACAAAGGGCATACAAATCAGCAAGGAAGAAGTCAAATTTTCAGTATTTGCAGATAACATGATATTCTATGTAGAGAACCTGAAAGAATCCACAAGAAAAATTGCTAGAACTGATACATGAATTCAGCAAAGTCGTAGGATATAAAATCAACATGCAGAAATCTGTTGTATTTCTATAACAAGCAGCAGAAAAAGAAATCAAGGAATCAGTCCCATTTACAACTGCACCAGAAACAATAAGATACTTAGGAATAAACCTAACTAACGAGGTAAAAGATCTGTACTTTGAAAAGTATAGAACACTTATGAAAGAATTGAAGAGGACACACAGAAATGGCAAAGCATTCCACGCTCACGGATTGGAAGAACAAACAATGTGAAAACATCTATAATATCCCTGCAGCCAACTAAGCCGACTGTGCCTTTTCCCCATGGGGCCCAGTGTGCAATGGCTGCGCACAGCAGCCTCCTTAGTAGTGTATGCAGCCTGTTGATTGTACGGGTTGCCCTAAGGGACCTTGGAGACAGCTTTTTTTGTGGGCATTGAGGTTTGGCCTCGTGCTTTCTCCAATCTAGACTCCAGACAGGCATGAGGGGTGCCTTTGGAAAGCCCCAGGGCACAGTGGCCAGGGTCCACATTGGCCAGGTCATCATGTCCATCTGTACCAAATTGCAGAACAAGGAGCATGTGATTGAGGCCCTGCGTAGGGCTAAGTTCAAGTTCCCTGGCCACCAGAAAATCCACATTTCCAAGAAGTGGGGCTTTACTAAATTTAATGCTGACGAGTTTGAAGACATGGTGGCTGAAAAGCGGCTCATCCCAGATGGCTGTGGGGTCAAATACATCCCTAATCGTGGCCCCTTGGACAAATGGCGGGCTCTGCACTCATGAGAGCCTCAGCAGTGCCCTCCCCATTCGTGCCCACCAATAAATCCTGCTTCCTGTAAAAAAAAAACCAAAAAAAACAAAAAAAACCCATCTATAATATCCAAAGCAATCTACATGTTTAATGCAATCCTTATCAAAATACCACCAGTATTCTTCACAGAGCTAGATCAAATAATCCTAAAATTTGTATGAAACCACAAAAGACCCCTAATAGCCAAGGCAATCCTGAAAGAGAAAAGTAAAGCTAGAGGCATCACGATTCCACACTTCAAGCTGTATTACAAAGCTGTAGTCATCAGGAGAGTATGGTACTGGCATAAAAACAGACACATAGATCAATGGAACAGAATAGAGAACCCAGAAACCTATGGGCAACCCAGAATGGACCCACAAACCTATGGGCAACTAATTTTCAACAAAGCAGGAAAGAATATCCAAAGGAAAAAAGACTGTCTCTTCAACAAATGATGTTGGGAAAACGACTGCAATATGCAGAAAAATGAAAACAGATCACTTATTTACACCAGATACAAAAATAAATTCAAACTGGGTGAAAGACCTAACCATGAGACAGGAAACCATAAAAATATGAGAGGAGAACACAGCCAGCAACGTCTTTGACTTTGCCATAGCAACTTTCTACTAGACATGTCTCCAGGGGCAAAAGGAACAAAAGCAAAAATGAACTCCTGGGACTTCATCAAGGTAAAAAGCTTCTGCACAGTGAAGGAAACAGTCAATAAAAATAAAAGGCAGCCTATGGAAAAGGAGAAGATATTTGCAAATAACATATCTAAAAAAGGGTTAATATCCAAACTCTAAAAAGAACTCATTAAATTCAACATCGAAAAAATACACCCAGTTAAGAAATGAAGACATGAATAGACACTCTTCTAAAAATGACATCCAGATGGCTAATAGACACATGAAAAGATGTTCAACATCACTCATTATAAGGGAAATACGAATCAAAACCACAATGAGACATCACCTCACACCCATCAGAATGGCTAAAATTAATAACACAAGAAACAACAGGTATTGGCAAGGAGGCAGAGAAAGGGGAACACTCTTGCACTGCTGGTGGGAATGCAAACTGGTGCAGCCACTCTGGAAAACTGTATGGAGGTTCCTCAAAAGACTAAAAATAGGACTACCCTACGATCCAACAATTGTGCTATTAGGTATTTACCCAAACAATACAAAATACATATTCAAAGGGGTACATGCTTCCCAATGTTCACAGCAGCATTATCAACAATAGCCAAACTATGGAGAGGGTCAAGTGTCCATTGACTGATGAATGGATAAAGAAGATGTGGTATATACAAACAATGGAACATTACTCAGCCACCAGAAAGAATGAAATCTTGCCATTTGTAAGGACATGGATGGAGCTAGAATATATTACACTAAGCAAAATTAGTCAATCAGAGAAAGTCAAATATATGATTTCACTCATATGTGGAATTTAAGAAACAAAAAGATGGACATATATATGGGAAGAGGGGGGAAGTGAAAAGAGGAAAACAAGCCACCACAAGAGACTCTTAATGATAGAGAATAAACTGAGAGTTAATGGAGGGAAGTGGGTGGAAGATGAGCTAGATGCGTGATGGGTATTAAGGAGTGCACTTGTGATGGAAGTGATGAATCACTGAATTCTACTTCTGAAACCGATATTGTACTTTATATTAACTAACTAAAATTTAAACAAATAAAATTTTAAAAAATAAAATAACTTGGTTCTTGCTCTCTTACTGTGGACTTTATTTTTTTTTTTTTACTTTTTAAAGTTTACTTTTTTATTTTGAGTGAGAGAGAGCAGGAGAGGCAGAGAGAGGGAGAGAGAGAGAGAACCCCAAGCAGGCTCCACACAGGGCTCAAACTCACACACCAAGAGATCATGACCTGAGCCAAAACCAATAGTTGGATGCTTAACTCACTGAGTCACCTGGATGTCCATTACTGTGGACTTTAAATCCATCTTTATGTTTAACTTTTCAATTTTGCAAAGCATACTCTTTCCTTGAGAAAAGAGAGCATTCACTAGGTGGCAATAAAGAACAAAACTATAAGTTACCATATATATTTAGAATCTAAAAAGTTCTGCTGATAAAATATATCAATTGCTACTTTCACTGTAAGTTCTTGTAAGAAAACCCACGCAGTTTGGTCACGTGCATAGTAATTGTAAAGGTCTTAGGTAAATGGGCGCCTCAACTATCTTTTTGTGTGCTGTTTTTGTCCTTGTCACAAAACCTAAAATAAAGAAACGGGGTGTTCAGGACATAAAATAGGAAAGAAACTGATTCAAAATTATATTTTAAAAGACCTCAGTAAAATTTATAATCTGATCAGATTATTTAGTAGAAAGTCAGAAGATAATTGATAGAACTGTTAGTGCATAGTTATCTCAAAAAGGAAAAAGCACGCAGATTTTTAAACAATCAAGGTACACAAAATGAAATAAATAATCCTCGACAGTAATCCTAGAAATGGAAGAGAAAAGGAAACTCAAGATATCATTTCATAACAACTAAATTACCTTTCTTCCTGCTGTGATAACATCAAATATGGTGATTTTACAGTAGAACTGGTATAATCCTGTGATATGATCAACCTTTTCCAGAAAATAATTTGGCAATAGATAATAAAAGCAGTACAAAATTCTTGGGATGCCTGGGTGGCTCAATCGGTTGAGCGTCTGGCTCTTGATTTCAACTCACGTCATGATCTCACGGCTTCATGAGTTCGAGCCCCACGTCGGGCTCTGCACTATCACTACACAGCCTGCTAGGGATTCTCTCTCACCCTCTCCCTCTGTCCCTCCCCACTTACACTGTCTCTCTCAACAAAAAGCAATAAAAAATTCAGACCCATTAGCTCAAGGAGCCCAATCCTGGGACTTCATCCTAAGGAAGGAATTCAACCAAAGAATAAAACCTGTAAATACTAACATGTTGTCAACAGTAATATCCATGATGGAAGAAAAGAAACTGGAAACAACATATCACTTGGATAAGTAATATCACAATGAGAAGGAAAGCTGCCTCCGCGTCTTTCAGAACGTAGACAGGACCAGAAGGACTTCTGGAGTCAGAGGTGCAACAGCAGAGAAGCAGCCCAGCAGGGACAGCCCGATGTAGGCAAGGGAGTAGCACTGGTGACAAGGAGGACAGTCTAGGAAAGAGACGAGCAGCAGAGCCGAACATGGAAAGAGTGACGAAAGAAATGGTGAAAAATGACGGCAGGCTGCTAAATGTCTGAGACAAGACAATGACAACATGGACCACCTGAGACAGAGGCATCTCATTTAACCACTGTGTTAGTCTTATGTGCCAAAAGCCTTCCCTGTGTTTCTGTGCTTGTTTGTACTTCCCAAATTCTCTGCGATCAATCTATATATTTACTATTATATATGATTATACATTACATACGGTGTATATGTAACATATTATTTACAGAATTAGAAAATGTTCTGTGAAAAGAGTAAAATAAAACAACAAAAATCTATTCCTTGCTACTCTGAGTGTGACAGCTTGTTAGAAATGCAGAGCCTTGTGCTCGCTTCGGCTGCACATATACTAAAATTGGAACGATACGGAGAAGATCAGCATGGCTGCTATGCAAGGATGACACGCAAACTCATGAAGCATTCCATATTTTTTGACAATAAATTATATTTAAAAAAAAAGAAACACAGAGTCTTGGACTTCTGGTTCAGGAGGAGACTGTCCAGGTTCACCAGGACAGACCTGGTGAGTCAGAATCTGCAGGTTAACGAACCCACAGTGGTTCCCACATGTATTCATAGTCTGAGAAGCACTGCTCTGGCCCCTTCTGCTCCACATCCCCCAAAGAGTGCAAGGCATGAGAACCTACCAGACTGTGCTGTGGCCTTCCTAGGTGAAGACATGTTGTCCCCATGCCCGGATTAGATGGGTAAAAGGCTTCTGCAGGTACTGAGCCTTGTGCCTTGAGAGTCAGGCAGAAGTTCTGATTAGTATCCTGGGGCCAGCACACAATTGTTGTTCACCTGGTCAAACACACAATGCAAAGGAGTTTCTATTAGATTATTACTGATATTTATTCAGTCAACGTCACTCAATGACTTAATTCTTTGAATGCCACATTTATGCTAAAGTAGGTGTTGGAGATTCAATATTGAATGGATAAGAATTAACTACAGAGCCTGTCTTCAAGTAGTTCATGTTCAATCTATAAAAAGTCCTCAGATAGAATAAGCATGTTTTCTTTTCTAATCTTTGCCTGTAAAAGAAAGAACTGTAAAATCATGTTTAATTACTCCCTCTGGTTAAAACCTAGAGTACATTTTGTTTGGCAACTTCTCCATTAGCTACCTGCAAATGATATGGGATTACTGTAACCTGAATCTAAAAGTTAATGTTTTGAAACATACATATTTCTTTTTTTTAATGTTTATTTCTGAGAGAGAGGAGCGGGGAGAGGCATAAAGAAAGGGAGACACAAAAACCTAAGCAGGCTTCAGGTTCTGAGCTGTAAGCACAGAGCCCAGTGCGGGGCTTGAACTCACAAACTGCGAGATCATGACCTGAGCTGAAGCTGGACGCTTAACCAACTGAGACACCCAGGCACCCCTGAAGCATACATATTTTAGAATTCTGAGATATAGAATGTTAAGAAAGATTATTTAAAACATGTATATAAGGCAAAAAGGTAGGCGACATGTCCTTTTAATATTATGAGGTTAATATTTAATAGGTCCTTCCAAGGATCATTCAATTACATAGAGAATTGTAACTACAACCCATTGTTTAAATCCTAGACTTAGTATAATTACATGTTAACCTATAGATTTTTCTACAACATCAGAGACTACATCAGAGATTATCATCTATTGCCCTGTCAGACATTAAACTAAGCTTTCTAATCTAACCTAGAGTTCTTATTCTAATATTCATTCCAAATGCCTATAAAAATATCATCAAATCTTCTCTGAACTACTTTCGTCATCTTCCTGGTTCCTTCCTCAATCAATACATTGAATAAAATCTCTAACATAGTCATTTCTTTTTTTTTTTTTTTTTATGTTTTATTTATTTCTAGGAGAGAGAGAGACAGCGTGAGCAGGGGAGGGTCAGAGAGAGAGGGAGTCACAGACGGAAAGAGGCTCCAGGCTCCTAGCTGGCAGTCAGCACAGAGCCCGACGCGGGGCTCAAACCCACAACCGCGAGATCATGACCTAAGCGAAAGTCGGACGCTTAACCGACTAAGCCACCCAGGCGCCCCTCTAACATAGTCATTTCAAATTTTAATGCATCACACTTTTAATTTTTTTTAATGCTATTTTGATGAAGGGAAAAAAATCTCTTCTTTTTAAAAGAACAGCAGTGGCCTCATGACTGGTACTGCAGTAATGGACTTGAGTGGTGAGCCTTCCCTGGAAGCAGACTTGAGAAGTTAATGACCTCACTGGTAACTAAGAACCACTGAGAATAATGCCCAAGCTTCTGCCTCCGAAATACATGACTGAAAATATTTAAAATGATACAATCTTAACTAAAGACTAATAAAATGAATTTTCTTTAGAAATTCTCAGACAATTTCAAGATGCTCCTTGGTAATTGGAGATACTCTTAATTAAATGTCAGGGTTTAGGGGTGCCTGGGTGGCTTAGTCGGTTAAGCGTCCAACTTTCACTTCGGTCATGATCTCACGGTTCATGGGTTCGAGCCCCGCGTCGGGCTCTGTGCTGACGCCAGTTCAGAGCCTGGAGCCTGTTTCAGAGTCTGTGTCTCCCTCTCTCTCTGACCCTTCCCTGCTCATGCTGTCTCTCTCTCTCTCTCGCCTAGAAATAAATAAAACATTAAAAATTTTTTAAATAAATAAATAAATAAATAAATGTCAGGGTTTAAATATGCTATATGCTGCATTCCATCAGATCAAACATCTGAATGGTCCTGCACTCCAACAGCTCACAGTCTTTTTATGAATACACTCCCCACATACCTAGGATCTCTCTAATGCACAGGTGAATAGACTGAAATCCATATTAATCCATACCAACAGTCACCTGTTTCAAATCTTTCATGTAAGTCAGTACTGCTCCCAGAGCAAAAAACTCCGATCAGAAACACATACCCATTTCTAGTGTTTATTGGTGCAGTGAGTTTGAGACAGCCCTATAGAAATATAAAAATCAAACTGGAAGAATTTCTCTTCTCTTACACTTGGTCTAGTATGTCTTAGGACAAATAGACAAAAGAATATCTTCATTAAGCTGATTAACATTTAATTCAGTTCGTGAGTTGCAGCTGCTATAGTAAATCAGCAATAGCATGAGATTATAAAATTCAGCATGTGTGTCATTAAAGCCTAGATGGTCTATAAAGCATATAAAAGTAAATTATATAATAAAAAACAGAATCTTCATTTATTATAATGCAAAAGAAAACTTTTAAGGGAATATAGTGAAAGCTTTTACCATATTATCTACCTCTTCCAATGCTTGATTAAGTAATACCCCATCAGGGCTTCCCCTATAATTTCTGTTTTTTATAATGATTTCTACACTCATCTCCCCAAGTTGAACCATAAACACCTTGAAGGCAGGAGTTTTAACTTTTTCATTTTTGTATCTTCAGTGACCAGCACATTCTAGACATTTTAGCACATTCTAAATGTTTGATGGGTTAACTAATTATTTAATTCCATGAAAAATCTGTATGCATCACTGGGCAATCTGCATAACCATGTCAAGAACCCTGGGAAGTCACAGAGGTCAGATCCCTAAATTAAAAGTTTTCCTCCCAACTCCTAAAGAAGATTGCTATAAGGTAGAAAATCAAGGAATTAACCTTGAGAAGGGGGAAAATATTAAAAATCTGTTACCTGCTTTGGGATACAGCACTGAGGATAGACAAATAAAGCTCCAATATGGCATAAAGTGGTCCCATGTGACCATAAGAGGAAGAAAACACAAGAATTTGGTTCCCCCAAGAAACTAATGCAGGACATTTTTCTTCAGAAGTTAGAGCGATAGAGAAGAACCAACGAATATTGTACGTATTCTCAATGCTTAGTTAAGGTGCGATTGTCAGTCTGTCTCAAATACTCTCATAACCAAAGCAGATGCCAGCGAAGACCATTCTGCATATTGGACTTTATGTTGGAAGCAAGATGCCAAAATATAGTTTGAAATGACATGCTCAGCACCTTGTCCTAGCAATTCTAACCTCTAGGGCTGCATACTTCCAATTCTTTTGAAAATTCTACTCTGAGACCTGTGTTGGCCTGGAAGGAAGAAAATGAAAGAAACCCAAATGCCCGTACTGAGTAACTACTACCCGACCTGAAGTCACCTTAGGAATAAGAGTTCTTTCCTGTGAAATCTATATATCTGGTGACCAAATTCTCAGGGCAAGCTTCTGGAACTATTATTATTTAACATGTTTTATGCCGCTTAAGAACTGCTTTTAGTTTAGTGTATTTTTTTAAAAGAATAGTGTTATTGCTTTTTCCAATTAAACAGATCACCAATATTCACGTAGAAAGTGAAGTTGCCATTAGGAAATCTCACTTTTGGCTTATTAGTTACTTTCTGCAATATGTGTGTGTGAGGGTTGGGGGGTAGGAAGCAGGGAGGGACGAGGTGCTGAAGCACAATCTCAAAGGCTATTGGCAGTTCTGGCCAGCACAACGAGGCAGGAAAAAGAAACAAATGTATTCAAATACAGAAGGAAAAAACAAAGCTGTCTTTATTCCCAAGATTAAGATAGGTGTGCATAATTATACTTCAACAAAACTGATTTTTTAAAGCCATAAAAAGATAAATAATCTACTTCAGTAAGTGTAAAATAAAACGCAGAGGTCATTGTGTAAAAATTATTTAAAAAATCAAGCTATTAATGGAAGTTTAAACATTAAAGAGCTGTTAGCCACCGATTATAGAAATGAGAGAACTGTTACCCCTTCACGGGTCCTTTTACCATCTTGTTTGTATTATAAAGCACTGGAATTCACTTGCTCAGTCACTTGCAACTCAGGGATTGACATAGTTACCATGAGCCACACTCTGAGCAAATACTTTTTCAATTATTAGAATGGCGTTAGTAAAAATAACGACTTACTAAATACATTTGAAAATGACTTCTTTACCTAGATGCTTCTGCTGTTTAGGTATCAAGATAAACAGTCTTCTATTATTTGTTTCACCCACGACATAACTTGCTTTGGCATCTTCCCTCAACCCTCCTGAACATCAGGTCCATCTGTCTGTCCATCGGTCTGTTCCTCCTTTTTATCTTCCCTCTTCCCTTCCTCTTGCTCTTTGGGAAATATACCAGTAATTACATGAGTGTGCCTGGCTATTCCAAAGTATATAATTCCTGTACCTCTAATCAATAGACCTTGGCTTGTGTATCTCAAGGAACTATTTATTTATAGGGTACAGCTAAGCCTTTCCATAACTGAGATTATGTCAGGCACAAACATATATGCATTACATACGTGTGCAGACAAGAGTTGATATAGCAGGCCTTAGGCTGCTACACTTAGAAAAACCTACCTGCAAGGCTGGCTCATGGTTTTCATCTGGGAACTTGCCAGGCAAAATTTTCCCTAAATGATAAGAGTGACTCACTGTGCCTACTGTATGTGCTGTAACTATGTGGTGTAAATAATTAT